CCCCAAAACCCCAAAACCCCAAAACCCCAAAACCCCACTGGATTCCCAAAAAATTGAAATGATGTAGGGGGAACTTAAGTTGAGGTTTGGGTAAAGAGTAAGGTCTAAGGAAGATTGTTTTAGTGGTGAAAGTGTATTATTCTCACTTAGAATACAAATCCTCTCTCTTTTGAAATTCTAGTAACTTTCTTCAGTCACTGTATCAGACCTTTGACCAGGTTGGGGTAACTCTCTCCTTTCTTCATAGCTCAGTGCAGTCTTTGCGAGAGTATGTTTTCTCAAGAAGGAAGGCTTTTGAGTAGGTCTGAATAGGAAATTAGAAAAGTTGTCAGTCTTCTTAGTTACTGACTCTGTTTGAGTTATGTTTACTGGTGGAGATTCAGATTCAGGCTCTTTCTCAAAGATAGTCCTTGTAAACAATGATCTGTGGTTTGAATACTCTGGGTCATATCCAGGAGCAGAGGACAAACTTTGTTTCTGAAAGTCCATACTCTTATCCCTCGAAGAATTCATCTTAAGATCCTTTGACTTATCGATAAGCTTGCTCTCTTCTCTGTCATTTAGCTCCATATCTTCATGTTTTAGTCTCATAACTTTCTTTGGTTGCTTCCCGGAGATGATATCAATTGGACTTTGGTCTTCTTCCTTTCTGGATGGCTTTTTTTCCTTATTCCTCTTCCTTCTCTGTTCATCTCGAGTCTTAGGAGGATTATTCTGGAACTTAGAAATTGGGATGCCAATTTTTCATATCTTCTCATAAAGAGCAGTGGCGTCCTCATCCTCAGTAATATTTCTTGCATGCTCTTTTGGAAGGTAGACTGCATTTTCATAGTCGAAATTTTTGACTATCAAAGAAGGGTCCTTATAAAACATGTCATCAATTTTTGGCACTGTGCACTCTTTTAGTTTCCTAATGTGCTGCTCATGCTTGATCTCCTCATCGTGATAAGTCTGGAGCTGCAGCCTTTGGTATTCAAGTAATGAAAAATGGAGAAAATCAAGCGCTGAGATTTGCATTAAACTGTTGTAAGACATCTTGTCTAAGTTCCTAATCACATTCCCAGTCGAAGTTGAGAGTCCTTTATCAGGTAGAATTCGTTCAAATATTCTCTCTGCAGCATTAGCAGCCTGATCTGCGTCAATATAAGAGTCATCAAGAGATGTGTTTTTGTCAATATGATGATCTCCGAAAATAAGCTGAGTAAGGATCTTCCTTGACTGGACATAAAACGGGATCATATCCTCAGTATACTCCGAATTAAAGATCTTATGCAATATATCCGACTCAATGGAGCTCTCCTTGTGTTCTTCAAGTGAATAATAAATACTCCAGATTTCTTTGGTAACTAATATCTTATCAAGCAGTTTCTGTTGGGAAATATTGATTAAAAACTGGTTTATATTATCATCCCCATTCTTGTCTGTGTAAGCAAATAATATTTGAATTAGGAGGTTGTTAAGGTCAGAAATAGAGTATCTTAATAAGTCACAGTGGTGGCTAGGGTCAGGGAAGCCACTCTTTATGAAAACTTGGTCCATGTTTTAAATAAATTTATTTAAGAAGGGGTTTTGGGGTTTTGGGGTTTTGGGGTTTTGGGG